TCTTCTTCACTCAACTTCTTGATTCCAGGCCAAGTAACCCGTTTTGTGATAGGTGCACCTGGCCCAGTGTTCTGTACCTCCGAGTAGAAAAGTGTGTTAAGACCGAAATCGCCAAGCCACGGTTGCCATCCTTCCGGCGGAATAAAATCTGGGATGAACGTGTTCATGATGATAGTTCTTGAATACTCTTTCCATGGCCTTCCAAGGTAAGCTTTGCTATTTTCCTTGACTGCCAAGTAATCCGGTTCACCAACAATCGTACATCCTTGGAGAACAAATCCCGTGGATTCTCGCGGATCTTTACGTCCATGGGCTGTAATGGGGCATGCTTGATTTAGAAGTGGCTTTCTCACCAATAAAGTACAATTCTGGAATACCGCAGCTGCATCTCCAAAGAGAAAATCGATGGTGCCCGAGATAGTACAGTCGCGGTAAAACTGACGGTGGGAATGTGCATATAGAGTATCTTGGTAACCATCGAATTTACAATTGTAGAATATTGACTCATCTGATAGAACCCTAATCGCAACCGCTTGATGCTTTATTGCCCCGGCTGTGTTCTCGAACCCAATGTTCTTGGCAATGAAATGATCTCCAACGATTGCTGCAATAACCATATAAGACTCATCAAATCCGTGCCGGGTCATTAAAACATTGTACCTTAAGCAATATCTAGACAAAAAAAATTAATCTCCATATTTGTAAAACATATAAAGATAATTCATTACCAACAGTGGCGGTTTTGTAGGTGGTAATACCATCCTTGTAACTTTTGCTGCCGGAAATGACAGTTTTCTCAGGGCCATCGCCGATAAAAACCAGATGTGTCATGCTCCTATTCACCTGAACGTACTCTTTATAGATTCCGGCCTTAATGTGAACCACGAAAGTCGTGTTCTTCTTCTTCGGGACATAATTCAATGCTTCATTGATCGTCTTGTACTGACCACTTCCGTCTTGCGCCACCACGATATCCAGTTTGACCTCGGACATAGGAGCATTCAAAAGCCTACGCGCTCGGCCATCCATCCACGAAGGAAACTCTTGGGACAACAACCGTCGACTATTCATCTCCGGAATCTGCATTTGTCCCAAGTAATTCGACATCTCGCTGACCATTGCAAGCCCGTTATGCGTTAACTGCACCGCAGTTTTCAATGCCTTCTTAATCGTCTCACCTGCATTCCCTTGTGTCCCTTGAAACCCATCAAGACAAGTTTGCTCATGGCTAATCGTCGCACTAAGCCAAATCCTCAGCTTAATCAACGCTTCATCAACCTTATGAAATTCGAACCTCCCTAACTCCTCAAACGACTTACTAAGCTCACCGATTGCGTAATCCATTAGCTCCTTGCATTGATCCAAAGCCATCTTCGTCCTCGGATCCTTTTGTAGCTCAATCATAGTCTGTGACTTCTTTGCCACGTCACTTATCTGTTTCATCGTCGCGTTAAAAGCTGTCTTCACTAGCTCCAACGGGTCTGATGTGTTCTTCGCATCCTTCCTAAGAGTATCCTCACAAGTCTCCTTGTAATCCGTCGGTGCGCAAACATCTTTGATGGCTTTAACAGAAGTTGTGATTTCTCCTTCACCTCCGTTATCGGACTTGTTGACGCTAACGCCTATGGTAACTGCAACAACCATGGAGATCAAAAGAACAGAGGAGATAGAGATAATAACGTATCTCTTTTTCCTCTTTGCATCATCGTCGTACCCATATGACATTTTTTTTTTGTTAAGTTTTTTTTTTGTTTTTTAAAAAAAATTATATATGAACAGCTCGTTTTTGTTGATTTTTTTTTTTTTTGTTTTGTGTTTTTTTTTTTGAAGAGCTGTTTCTTATTTCGAAGCTTACGTAGCCTCTTTAGGAGTGTGAATTCTGCATAATTTTGAAAATATGTACAAGGATAATTTTGTTTATGATAGATAAAGAGTTTCGTAGTTTTTGTTGCTTTGATTTATGAGGTTTGGCGGGAAAGTCGTTTGGCTTAAGAATGTGAGAGACAGACCAAAATAGGTTTGTGGTTTCCTTCCAAATTACTAAACTTGGAATATTAATTAAAAATCAATCTTAATTTAAGTTATATAGTGGGAAATAAAAATTAATTTTGCTCACATAATTTGGTGGACATAAAAGAAAAATATTCAAAACTAATAATTTTTCTTGCAAAACTAACCAAGAAAAAAAACAAACTAATTATTAGGTAAACTAACCAAAAAAAAATTAATATATTGTGAATCTATGATATTTGTGTATTATATATAGTTTAGACTTTAGACCATTTTGCATTTCTCTCTTCAACATTTTAGTGTTTCTACCACCATCACCACCACTTCTTTCCTTTACTACTAGGCATATCAATTAGAACCAGAGTCCGCAGATCGGTCTGGCCCAACCCTGAAAATTACCAGACTCGGATTTAAATATATATGTCCAAAAAAAAAGATGTAAATTACTACCATTAGAGCCGGCCTTGACCACATGCTCATCAAGCACATGCTTGTGGCCCTTAATATAATATCTATTAGAGCAGCTGATTATTGAGAAAAACTTCAGTAGCCGAGGTTACGGTTTCGATCCTCCCCTCTTTTGTTTTCCCATTTTTTTCCCCTAAAATTATGTTATTAGTTGGCTTATAATATTTTTTTGGCTTGTGACTACCATCACCATCACCACCACTCACCTCCATCACCAGTTCACCACCACCATCAATGCCATCACTATCACCACCACCGCCACCTCCACAGCCACCACGATGTCGTCACCACCACCACACCACCACCACCACGCTGTCATCACCACCACAACGTTCTTTTAACATCAGAGCTAGAAGGTAATTATATCCGTGCAATTTTCTTGGCCCAAGAGCCACAGCCCGTTTGGGATTCATAAAATATTATTTTTTGAAAAATATATATACATATACCACTATGGTTATGTGCGACTTATATCCAGAGAAAGTATTTTAGAAATCTGAAATCTTTCACATGTTAACAAGAAAACAAACAAGAAGTTTAAATATATTTCAAGGTAATAATTAATTATAATTTTAGATATACATATGCGGTCATTTCCAATATATATATATATATATATATATATTGACTCATTACTAGCGGAAAAAAAAATATAGAGTCACTACCTGTTCTAATTATGTGAAATAGAAATTCATAGTTTCAGATAGTATAGTGTTCCACAAAAGTAACTGAATTTTTATCCTGTGGTAGAAACTAAATGGTTGCTAGATATATATAATGATAAAATATATATAAGTCTTTCTATTAAATATCTTATAACTGTTATTATTCGTATAAAATAGATTAATGAAATAACTAAACAATAATAAAATAGCACATAAAGTCATAAAGAGTACCGCAATCTTTAGACATAACATAAGAACACCTCTACCATTATTTAATACGATTATCTAGCAAAACTAATAGTATTATAATGAGTGAGTATCTCAAATAATTGAGAAATCCACTCAAAAGTATCTCATTTGAGAAACTCTTTAAATGAGTTTTTCAACTATTTGAGATATTCACACATTAAATTATAAATATTTTTGCTTTCTTAATTTTGAGATACCTAAGTTGACAACTCTTTGATGGAGATGCTCTAAGGGTATTCATAAATTTCTCAAATATTTTTAGAAAATCTTTTCCTAATAGGATAATAGATACAAATTTATTCATTGAAAAATTATTCCCCTTAGTTTTTTTTTTTCATATTCGTATTTAAGCTTAAATAGAAAATCATCTCAAAATTAATTATTTACAGACTTACAATTTGAAAAATTATAAAATGTTGAATGTATCTTGGATATTTTGTGGGAATACGTCAGTATTCATGAATGTATCTTGGATATCTTTTACCAAATACTTCAGTAGTCTCATTTAAGAAAAAAGTGACACTTAAGGTATTCAAGCTTTCTTTTTATGAATATATATATCTGAAAATATATATATTCCTATATATATATATATATATATATATATATATATATAAGGAATAAAATTGTTATTCTTTACAGTTCATAGACCATGTTTGTCATTTTATTCCTTTTTGGGTATTTTTCTCCCAATCAGAACAAAGAAAGTAAACAATTTGATTACTGCCGGAAAACTAATTAAAGAAATCTCACATTTTTTATTTCTAGTTTTTAGTAATGAGAAAGAAACAACTGTAGTCAATCACAAGCTGTCTAAGTTTAATGTTTATGAAACACCTTCCAAGGTAAATTTTCCATATAGTAGAATGCAATTTCATTGTATTTGCAATGACTAATTATTTTCTATAAAAATAGTGAAGAATAACATCATCCTTCCATAGTAGTTAAAGATGCTACTTTGACTAGTTGGTTTATTGTTTATTTATTCATTTTAAATTATTAATATATTTTTACACAAAAAAATAAACACGAGATTTCATAGAAAACTTAATAGTTTGTAACACTTGTTCAAACGAATTTTCGCGCCCTATTTTTTGTAACATTAAACTATCAATTTCCTTAACAAGATGGTTGGAAAAAGCATTCTTTTAAAGTAATGTTCATAGTACTTTTATGTAATGTAAGCACATGTAAATACGACATATTTAAATGAGTAAATAAATATCAATTATTCTATAAATTTAACCAAAATAATATCGATAATATAAACTATTTTGGTACAAATTTCACATTTTTATTATTTTGGAATATAAAATAGTAAATTGAAAGATTGTTACAAAAATGTTTATAAATTTAAAAATATATATTTATAAGAATATATATTTTATATAACATATACATCGACTATAAAAATTTAACAATATGGATTTATTTTGATATACCTAACATAAAAATAAACACTTAAATGAAATATATTCGAAAGTATAAACAAAACTGAAAAAAAAAAGAACTTAAATGCAATATATTAGAATGTATAAACAAATACCTAGTTATATAAATTATACGTTACATATTTCACAGAAAAATGTTATATTGAGAGACGAAAAGAATAAAAAATTGTTACAGAAACAACCATAAATTTCAAAATTATGGATTCATAATACTTGTATACTGAGTTATATAACTATTATATTATTACATATTTCACACAAGAATATCACTTTGTAAGTCAAGTAAAATCAACATAGTTAAAGAAACAACCAGATATGAAGTCATAGTAGTTGTGATTTTAAATTAATTTTACCCTTGGAGATTTTATACCATAATAGTTAACGAACATTAAGGTTACCTTCTCAATAAATAGCATCCTCATTGCTCCGTATCTATCACAAACAGATAAAGATCACTTATCAATCCGAACAAAGAAAAAAAAGATTTGTGACAAAGAACCAAGCTATGTCTTCTTCAAGCTCTTCCACACCCACACCCAAATCCAAAAAACTCAAAGGCATTGTTGTGGCCATGGAGAAGTCGAAAGAGAAGGCAACAAGGAGCACTAATCTGAAACTAGGTTCTCCTCAAGAGGTTACCTCTGAAAGGAGGTTTGAGAACTCTAGTTTTGGATCTAGTGCTGTCCGAAGAGGAAGAGAGATCATGAAGTTTTATCCGTCCAAATCGAACAAGATCTACACTTGTCATTTTTGCAAGAAAGGATTCTCAACCTCTCAAGCCTTAGGTGGTCACCAGAACGCGCACAAGCAAGAGCGGGAGTGGGACAAAAAGCGGAAGGAGATGCAAGCCGACTACCCTGGACTCGCCTTTTTTAACCCTTACCTTGATAAGCCTCACATTCTCTTAGGTGGGTATTCACAAGATGCTTTATCAAATGAAAATCATCTTGGGATCACTCTTGATCCTTTTAAACGTTTAATTTACCCATCTTTCAAGAGTGGGGTCATTGGAGGAATTGCGGATATGAACGTGGCTGTAGTTCCTCGTGTGACTCCTACTCGCTTCTTCACCGGGAACACTAGTACCAATGGTTCAGCTTCAAGGGTCCCTAATCCTTTACCATCCTACAACAACCTTTACCCATTAAACTCGAGAAACGTTCTTCCTTTTCCTCCTTTTCAAACTACCAAACTTTCTAGCAATTTGGTTTCGCAAGGAAACGGTTTGAGCGAGGAGAATTTCATCTCAAAGATTGGAACAAAGAACAATATTGTGGAGATTGATGATGATGATGATGATGATATCCAACCAGAAGAAGAAAAAACTAAAAGCGGGGGAATTGATTTATCTCTATCCCTTTGAGTATCTTTTTTAGTTTTATGCGTTATGTAATTTTTCATTTTAGAGGTTTCATAGTTACTAGAGACCTTATATTCACCACATTTCTATATGAAGATTGTTGTTATCCTTTTTAAGTTATTGAATTTCATTATAAATGTTCATTTCCTTGTATCATCTCTTCTTCTATTCACATCTAATTGTGTTCTAGTTAATTTTCTTTTATTATTTCCCAATTTTTTTTCTTACTCCAATATCTATATCGCGTGAGTGTTCTACAATTTTTTGCAGTTTCCAATACGTCCTGATTAAATATTCATAACGAATTAAATCCCCCCAAGGTTATGTGCCTTGATTTGAAGTATGTGGAGAAACCAAAACTATTTGTCAGTTTTCTTGAACATCTATAACATTGATGTTATAACATTGAAGTAGTAGAAACATTTAGGGTCTTTCGATTAGTAATGTACATCCGTGTATATATATTTTGTTCCTTTACATTTGTATCTTTGATAATATGTTGTGTCACTAAAAAGTAAAAATCAAGTTTGGGGATGGAATACTAAATGGCATAATAAGCACCATACACAATAGATAATGTAATCAAACAAACCATCATTGCTCGTCTTGATCCTCTCTCCCGGGCTAGGCCTGCTATCCCCTGGCTTTGTCTCTCCTGGGTTCTAGGTTTAGCGTTTTTCAGGGTTCTCCCTTGTAATTGTTGTGGTTGTCTTTTGATGTGCAGGTGTGGCTTTGATTGTACAGTCGCATGTTTTGTTTTATTTTGTTTGGGCTTTGTGGCTCTTTTTGGGCCTCTGAGCTCTATAATTCATTTTTTAATGGAAATTAAAAAAAAAAAGTGATTGTACTCTTCACAGCTAAGCAGACTTCAGATTGTGTCTTTCCAGTCCGGCATTATGTGATGATGGAGAAGAGGTTCGCTGATTTCCATCCATATGGTGAAAGAATACAGGCAGGAGAAGAAGAGGTGATCATGTGACCCTTTCGGCCCGCTGCATAGAAGACATGGCTGTATAACTCCCAAACTTTGTGGCCGAGATCATGTGGCAAGCCTATCTTTAGAGCAACACAGGTTATGAAGTAGTATTTTGGAACCTGCTCCCAAGTGTACTTAGCGGAAAAACATGGTCTAAAGTCCTCTTTAAACATCCATAAAGGAAAATCTTGCCCAGCGGCAGGAGAAGGTGGATGAGTAGTTGTAGTGCTCTCGATGATTTCCATAAGATGATAGCCCGCATTGACGAATGATCCAACCATAGGATGATAAGGCCTCTGAAATCTTCGCATATTTGTTTAAGCCAAAGACTCGTAGACCAAACTCACGGAATGAGTCTTTTATTTAGGTTAGGGAAGGTTAACTTAGAGCAATGTTCAAACATAGTTTTACATTTGCAATGGAACAATTTGAATATTTGTAAAAAGTAATTTGAGTAAATCGTGTTGACTGGAATTTTCCAAAATCTATACTACTATTTTTGAAGTACATTTTTAGCGGGTGGGTCAAAGTGCATTTAGATACAATGGATATCCGATCCGTTTACAAATTTTGGTCATAAAAAGTTTGTTGGGTCGGAGTTATATTTAATCCAATTCAGACACCGGATATTCTATATTTAATAATTTAGATATTTAGAAGATTTCATTAAGATTTAGAATTATAACTCTCCTATCATCTTTGTTTGATTTGTTTTTAACTATTTTGAATCATCATATAATACATATAGTAAAAAAAATCATTTTTTTTCTGCATATACTGTGATTCGAAATTTTAAAAACGGACATATATTATCCAATTGGGGAAAAATGTGTGTTCAACGTTCCACATCGACTAAAATATTTAGACAATGATTCAGAATCATATCATAAATAAGATCAACATTACTAAAAGAAATGGTTTTTTTTGCGGAACGGGTTTGGCGGAACAGATTTTTGAATCAACAATAATAAAAAATTAAAATATCATTAATCCGCCGTTTCAATAAGGATTAAATGCTTAATTTTTTTTAATACCACCAATACTAGACATATCAAATCTGTCTCATTTAGAAAATATTTTATAAAACCAAATTATCTCGTGGTATAATGTTACTTAATAACAATTGTAAACTATAAAATATAAATGTCTTAGAGAATGATAAAATTTGCAAACTTTTATATATAATAAATAATCTTTAAAGTTTTAAAATTACTACTTTTAGAAAACAAATCACGGGACGGGTTAAAAAATTACATGATGAATTATATTTCTGAACGGAGTTATATGGTGGACGAGTTTGAATCAATATTTATAAAATTTTTTAAAATATCATTAACATTCTGCTTTAATACATATTAAATCTTCAGTTTATTAAAATATAAATATCCTAGAGAATGATACAATTTGTAAACTTTTATATATAATAAATAATCATTAAATTTTAAAATCACTACTTTTAGAAAACAAATCACGGGACGGGTTAAGAAATTACGGGACGGGTTATATTTCGGAAAGGGTTTATATGGCGGACGGATTTGAATCAATATTTATAAAATTTTTAAATATCATTAACATGCTGCTTTAATACGGATTAAATCTTCACTTTCTTAACAATTGTCCCGTGGATTCGTGATATACCATTATTTAATAACAATTGTAAACTATAAAATTAAATATTTTATAAAGAGATATAATTTGTAAAATTTTATATATACTAATTTAAAAAATAAATCATCTCGCGGTACATCACGGGTTAAAATCTAGTATGTTCTATGTTTTTCAAGACATTAAAAAAATCTATCATCTACTTTCAGAAAAAAAAAACTATGATACTTTGGGAATAATGAGTACAATAGTACCGAATGAAGCATAGTTAGCAAGCAAGGGGTACAAAATAGATTTCATATTGGTCCTAAAGCCAAATTCAGTAGGAACCGATGATCAACATCATGATATGAGGTGTAACTTTGCCAACCAAGCTTCTTTAGATTTCATCTGAAGTATATGAACAAAAGTTTCAAGTATAGCCTATAATCCATAGATTTTAAAATTTAGTTATTTATAATATGTTTGTCTCTCCCTGAAGTTATTTAGATTGAAGTTATCAATATGCCAATATATAGATAAAAACTTTCGCTATGAAAAGATAATGGCGTACATCAATTAAATTGATACTTTACTTAACGGGCATTATATGCAAAATGAGTCTATTATTTGGTTTATAAAAGGTCAAGTTAGAGGGATGCCCGAAATATATTAGAGCATTTCGAAAATTTTAGAAAGTAGTTTCAACTTTCAAGAGAAAATGTTATAAAAAAAAGATTGTTTTTTATTTTGAAAAAAAAACTGTTTTATTGGAAATAGTAAGTACATTAGTAAATCCATTTGACTATGAACTGGTGCTCTTCACCATAAGATTTGAGGGGTCACTTTCCTAACAAAACTAAAATAATTTAATTTTACAAATCTTTTACTTATAATATGAATGACCGGAAGTTATAATTATAAATTAATAATTTAATAATATAATAGACAGTTTTGCATTTACGAGTCTCAAAGACGAAAAGGTAATTCGTATCAAATAGCCCATGCACCATAGCAACATAGATATAGTCTTCGTTCACTAGGCGAGTCAACAGTCATAACAATAGTCAATAGTTTACCATTTCCCGGAGGTACCGACTACTGAGTGACTGCCGGTCCGACATTTTTGGATGTCCTATGCAAGACTTAAAAATATGTCCCTTTCATATATTATAAAAAACCATAAATAATAGTCATATGAATAAAATCACATAATTTTCATATAAAGTTTACAAATTCCAGAAACAGTTAGAAAATATACAATAAGGTTAACAATCATTCATTAATCATGAACACCAACCATGAACAAAATTGAAACATAAATTGAAGAACTAGACAAAACAAACAAAGCTATGAAATTAGAGAAAAAAGAGAGACACTTTTAATTGATTTCATGTTTGTTTTAGTGTTGTAGTTGAAGCCGAGGTAAAAAAGTACCCTCAAAGTGTCGAAACAAGCAAAATAATTGTTTGCTACTATAAAACCCTACAAAAAAAAAAGCTCTTAAATTTTGAGGCTCAAAGCAAAGCAATGGTTTTAGTGGCTTGGTATATGAGCCGGACCTAGGAGTGACCTTCTAAAAATAGGCGCTCAAGATGAGTGACGAACAACTGCCGATGAAGAGATCTATATGTAGCTGCTAGCGATGAATGACACGCAGTCATCTATGACAGAGATGCCGATTGTCTCCTAATTGTAATTGTCGAAGTGTATTGACGAACAACCGAGATATGGACATTGTACTTTTAAATGGAGCTCCTCGTTATGATGACCATAAGGGATCATGTCATGTCCATGTGTCCTACTCTGATTTAGTAGTTTTTGAATGTTAAAATTCGCTGGTATTTTTGAATGATTTATGAATTAAATAGGAAAGCCACTTGCCCAAAGGTGCTCGTGCCATTGTTGAGGATTTATCAATTAACTTATGAAAATATATAAATTATGACTAATGTTTTTTTGTTAATTAATGTAATTAATTGTTGCATCACCACTTAAGTTTAAATCATCATATGCATATTATAGACCCAAAACAAAAAACTTACATAGAGTAAATATTTTTTATAATATTTTCTTTTACCTATATTTTTTTCTATCAAGGAAATAATATTATTTGTGGATTGCAATAAAATGATGGAAGTTATTTTGCTCCAGTGATTGACTAAGAGTTTAGTTAATGTTTCTACTCCAGATATGAAGTTCAATTCTCAGAGATTTTTCAACCTGGTGTAGATAGAGTCGGTCACAGTAGTCCCACGTTCTAAAATAAAAATTATCCACCGTGAATATAGTAGTACACATATAACCATTTTTTGTGTACCTTAGTCGTGTGGGTGAAATTAGAACTGGTCCTGTGAGTCTGAACTCTGAAGGCACGAGTGTAGTAATGTATATATTTTAATTAATTAATGTCCTATAAATTTTACCTTAGTCTTGTGGGTGAAATTAGAACCGGTCTTGTGAGTCTGAACTCTGAAGGCACGAGTGTAGCAATGTATATATTTTAATTAATTAATGTCCTATAAATTTTGGGATTAATTTTATAAATTAAAAATGACTTGTAAAAGAAAAACTTTTTTTTTTTTGTCGAAAGTAAAAGAAAAACTCAAACTTGGTATTTCAGCGCAAAATTTTTTTTTGATAAAGGGTATGAAAATTTTATAAATATAGGCTATTTCCGGATTTAGGTCCATACATTTTCTCTTAGGATCCAATAAACTAGCATCTAACCGAACTAAACCATCTATTACAAAACTGACTAGGTTTTACTTAACCGATCTAAACCGGAGCCAAAAAAAAACCCTGATCTCTAATCGTAGAATACGATAGAGTCGCCGTCCAAGACCTGCAGAAACTCGCCAGAACAGAA